AGCTTAATTTTTATATATATTTAATTAATTAAAAACTTTTTATAATTAATATTTATTTTATATTAATTTTATAAAAATATTTAAAAAATAATTAAAAAACTTTTTAAAAAAGATTTATTTTATATTTAAAAACTTTTTTAAATAAAGATATATTAAATTTAGCTTAATTATATTATAATAATATTATTAAAAAGAAATAATAAAACTTTTTATTTAATTTAATTAATTAATTTATATAATAAAAATTTAAAATTAATTAAATAAATATAAAATATTATTAATAATTAATAACTTAATCTTTATAATAAAAACTTAATTTAATTATAAGGAATAATTAAATATTTTTAAAACCTTTTACTTTACTTTATAATAATATAAAAATATTTTTAATATTATAATAAAAAATAAATATTTAATTTTAAAATAATAAAGTAATAAATATTAATATTATAATAATTTTAATAAATAAAATTAAGTATTTTATATATAATTAACTTAATTATTATAAATATAATTATTTTAATTATTATATAAAATAATAAAAATATAATTTTTATTAATTAAAATTAATAAAAACAAAGGAATTTATTTAAGGAAATATAAAATCTTTTTATAAAATAAAGCTTAAAAAATATTATTAACTTAATATTAATTTAAATTTAAAATAAATTAATTATATATTAATTAATTTAATATTATATAATATTTAAAATTTAAAAATTCCTTATTAATAAAATAAATTATTTATAATTAAATATTAATTAATTATAAATTATATAATAAATTTATAATTTTAAGATTTTAAATAAAAAAGCTTATATAAAAAGCTTAAATTAAAAGATTATAAAAATATTATTAATTTAATTATTAATTTAATTATTAATTTAATTATTAATTTAATTATTAATTTATATTTAAATAATTACTTTTATTAACTTATTTTAATTAATATATTAAATTATAAAAGTTAAAAATATATTAATTATAAAAAATAAATTAAGCTTTTAATATATTTAAAAAGTATTAAGGTATAATTAAATAATTAAATAAAAAATAATATTTAATTTATAATTAAATTATAATATTTTTTATTTTTTATTATATAATTACTTTTTAAAGCTTATTATAAAAACTTAAAAAAAGAAAATATATTATAATTTAAGCTTTATTTATTATAATTAATTAATAAGCTTTAATTTTATAAAAATAAGCTTTAATATAAATATAAATAAAAAGTAAACTTTTTTCTTTATATTTTAAATATAAACCTTATTTAAGCACTTTATAATAAATAAATTAAGGTTAATTTAAAATATTTTTTTTAAAAAAAATATTTATAACTTTTTTATAAAATTTTTTAATAATTTTTAATTATTTTCTTATTTAAAAAAGTAATAAAAAATTATTTATAAAAATAATAAAATTTACCTTAAAGGATTTAAATAATTATAATATTTCATTATTTCTATAATAAGCTTGGGCTATTGCCCAAGCCTTATATAGTGTGGCTAGATAATCTAAGGGAGCTTAAATTATTATATATCTTTTGGCTTAATTAAAAGGTTGCTGCTTTTACAGCTTATAAAAGAAGGCGCTAACCAGCCTGCAACCCCTTTAAGGCTAAGCCTATAATAAATAATCTAAGCTTTAAGGTTAAAAGTTTAAATCATAATCTCACTTAATTATAAAGAAGATCTTTGGCTTAAAAAGGCAATATCATGGATAAGCCTTAAGAGTAATTATACCATTATATTAAGGGGGTCTTAGGGAAAGGGGCTATGTAATGAGCTTAGGCTATTACCCAAGCCTTATATAATATGGCTAAATAATCCAAGGAAGCTTAAATTATTACATACCTTTTGACTTAGTTAAAAGGTTGCTACTTTTACAGCTTATGGGAAAAGGCGCTAACCAGCCTGCAGCCCCTCTAAGGCCAAGCCCATAACAATTTCTTTATTTTTCTTTTTTTTATAATATATTATTTTTTAAATAAATATTTAATTATTAATAATTTTATTAAAAATTTAAAATATTAATAATAATTATAATAAGCTTAAGTTATTATTTAAGCTTTATATAATATAGCTAAATAATTTAAGGAAGCTTAAATTATTATATATTTTTTAATTTAAATAATTAAAAGGTTGCTGCTTTATAACTTATAAAAAAAGGCGCTAACTAGCTTATAACCTTTTTAAGGCTAAGCTTATAATATATAATTTAAGCTTTAAGGTTAAGGGATTAAGTTATATTTATTATAAGTAAAAAAATATAAGTACCTTTTTTATAAAAAAGATCCTTAGCTTAAAAGGTAATGTTATAAGTAAGTTTTAAAGGTAATTATATTATTATATAAATTAAAAAAAGGGGTTTTATAATAAGCTTAAATTATTATTTAAGCTTTATATAATATAATTAAATAATTTAAAGAAGTTTAAATTATTATATACCTTTTAACTTAAATAATTAAAAGGTTGCTGCTTTATAGCTTATAAGAAAAGGCGTTAGCTAGCTTATAGCTTTTTTAAGGCCAAGCTTATAATAATAATATTATAATTTCTTTAAAACCCTTTTTTTAACTTAATTTAGCTTTTTGTTTTTTTATATTATTATAATTTTTTTATAATTATTATTATATTTAATAATATTAAAAATTAATTTAAAGTTTTAAAATATAATTTTTATAATATTAATAAAAGATTAATTATATTTTTTATATTAAAAAGTTATAAAAGAAATCTTTAAGCATTTTATTAAATAATATATTAAATAAATATTTACTTTTTAATTTAATTAAGTTTATATATATTAATATATAATTCTTTATAAAAGTATTATTAATTTATTTTATAATATAATATAGTTTTAAAAATATTAAAGATTTATATAATTTTAATTACTTTTAAAGGTTTTATATAATTTTTTAAGGCTTTTAAATTACTTTAATAATTAAAAGAATTTTATTTTCTTTAAATATAAAATATATTTATTAATTATTAATTTTTAATATATTAAATATTTAAGTATATAAATTAATATAAAGTTAATATAAAAATTAAAAATATAATAAGTATTAAAAATAACTTATTTTATTAAAACCTTAATAATTTTTAATTATATTATATATTTATTAATTATTTTAAATTAATTAAATTAATTTAAAATAAGGATTTAATTTATAATTAATATTAATTAATATTAAATTTAATTAATTTCTTTGCTTTTAATAAGCATTAAGGTTAGTAAAAGTTAATAAATATTATTAAAAAAAAAAATATTATTAATAAACTACATTATATATATATTTAAAAAGAAATATATATATTAATTAAATAATAATTATAATAAATAAATTATATATAAAACTTAAAGTTAATATTATAATAATATTATTAATTATATAATAAATATAATTTTAATTTTATTAAAAAGTTTTATTTATTTATTTATTTATTTATTTATTTATTTATTTATTTATTTATTTATTTATTTATTTATTTATTTATTTATTTATTTATTTATTTATTTATTTATTTATTTATTTATTTATTTATTTATTTAAATTATTTATTTTAACCTTATATATAAGCATTTAAGTTTTTTTAAAACTTTAAGTTATATTTTAAATAAAGTTAATATATTTATTATTTAAGCTATAAAAAATTTAATTAATTATAATTTATTTAAAAAGAAATATTTTTTAGCCTTTAAATTCTTTAAAAGGAGCTTTAGCTTATTAATATATTTTTTTATAATTTTAAAATTATTAAAATTAATATTAAAAAACTCTTTTTAAAGCAAATATTAACTTATAAATTTAAAGAATTTATAATAAAATTTAAGTATATTTTATGCTTTTTAAATATTATTTATATTTTTTATAAATATAATAAGCCCTTAATTATATATAAGTTTAATATTAATAAAGGCTTTCTTATTTTAAATTAAAAATAAATATTAAAAGAAATTTAAAATTATTTTTAATTATATTTTCTTTTTTAAGCTAAGCTTAAATTTTAATACTTTAATATATATAACTTTTTATTTTATTAAGAAATAAAATATTATATTTATTAATAAATGCTATTTTAAGGTAAATAAATAAAGTATTTATTAAGATATTTAAAAAAAAAGGTAAAGTAAATTTTAAATAAATATAATAAATTAAGGAATAATAATATAATTTTAAAAGTAATATAAGTAAAAAAAAAGAAATAAAAATCTTTTTAATAATATATTTTTAAAATATAAAGAATTAAATTTAATTAAAATATAATTAAATATTTTTAAAGAAATTTAAAGATTATTATAATTTTATTAAAGCTTATGTTTATAATATTTATTTAATATAATTTTAAAATTTTAAAGAAATGCTTTTATTATTTTTAATAAAAGCTTTTAAATAATATATAATTTATATAAGTAAGTTAAGTATTAATAAAGAAATAATTAAGTATTTAAATAAAAAAAGTATAATTTTTATATATAAGCTTTAAATTAAAAAATAAGATTAATTTATAACGTTAAATAAAGCAATTTAATTAATTAAAGGCTTATTAACTAGCTTAATTAAGTAATTAATTAAAAAGTTTATTTTAAAGTATAAAGCTTATTTATTTAAAAGGTTTAAAAAGTAATGATAATTAAGGGTATTATATAATATATGTTTTTTATATTAAGTTAATATTATTATTTTAAGTTAGCATTTAAGCTTATAACCTCTTAAATAATAACATTAAATGCTTAATTTATTAAACTAGTTAATGTTTATTTTTATAAAAAGAAAGGCCCTTATTTAAAGTTATTATCCTTTATATAATGGCAAACATATGGGGAAAAAGATATCCCGTATTAATAATAGCCTAGATGTTTAGAATATTCCAACAGAAACGGCCCGCAGATTTTTTCACTTATAGTAATGCTTTGATGCAATCACATTATTGCTCTTATCCAATTCCAATGCAGAGTAGTGCGCGGTTGGGTCGTTTGTGCTTGGATGCTCAGCCACTCTAAAATAACTGTCAGAAAACTGTGTTTGGATTTGCTTGGTGCAAACTCACTTCATGGCAACTTGGACCGTCTCTGGCTTCAAAGTGTCTTTATACTTCTCTGCAACCGCGACGAACTCAGCCTTCGTAGTGTCGGGTAGGAAGGGGCGTTCCCAAGCGTCAGTCTTGCTGACATATGCCACAGCGACTTGCTTCCCCGCAGAAGTGGTCATGGTCTTAATGAGTTGGCTGGCCCTATACATTCTGCTTTTTCGTGCCTGATGATGAACTTGATAGGTAATAAGAGGTAAGACGGCTGTAGACCGAGATCAGGTGCAATTGGGACTATAGTGTGTGCGTATTCATTTGTGCTAGTCTAGGAGTCTCATTGCATGCCAGACGATCTAGATACGCCCATATATATACCTGTCGGTCTCGACAATGTTTTGAGGCTCTCGCTGAAGTTGAGAAATGGACCTACACCCTCGCTTTCATGGAGGGAGGTAGTATTAGGCAGAAGTAAGCGCCTATGCTCGCAGGAGGTGGTCACCAACATGCATATTCGCATCCAGTGTGTATAATCATTGGTCAAACACCGTACTGTTGGCTTGAATCTGAGTCATTGAAATGATATTTTAGGGAGGGGGCCTTTGAACACCGCGGCCATGGGTGACAAGATGAAGTGTGCGATTCAAGTTGGTGGTCGCAGAAGCTAAGACAACCAACTGCTCCTGTTGAAGAGCCAACCGACCCGCCCCGGGCGGCCTAGCTCCACTAAAGGTGACCTAGAACCCCACCTGGGGCAGTTCGGCTAGCAGGTCAGTTTCCAGACTGTACTGACCTGGGCAAGCGCTGCGCAATGAATTTCGAATGTGCCCGTCGAGACACTATTGGCGCCCTCAATGTGAAATCTCTTAGTGAGCCTGCAACCAACGGCCTCCATGGTCTGTAAACGCAAAGGAGTTGCAATGCAGGCAGAAGCCAAAACCGACAGATCTGCAGAACACACCTGCCGAACCCGCTCCGAAATTGGTTGGGTTCTGCACGTGACGTAGTGGACTAGTCACGCGTCTAGAAACAAGGCGTCTCGCAAGTGCTGCGACGTTGTCCGACTCCTTTCTGTAAAAATAACTGCGCGACTCTCGACGTAGTCGCTTGAAGAGCCAACCGGCACAAGCACATTCAACAATCCGTCACAACCTTTTGTGACGACACAGCATTGATGGCTACCAATTTACTTGGTGCTACAGGGCGCCGCTACATCTTCAAAGAATTGATCCAAGAGAGGCCGCACCTTGGCCGCGTGTGGTTGGCAACGTCCGCCTATCCTTTCCAATTTTGCATCATGTGAGCATTGAGCTAATCATGGGGCCTCAGATGCGGGCATGACAAGTTCATCTTGAAAGATATTCCAAAAGAAATATACTCGAGCTTCAATGAGGACATACGACCTAGACTTCGCGAACATGAAAACCTACGCTTACCCTCAGATACCATCCCCGGCAAATGCATCTTTGTGTACAAATATCTCACGGACGACTTCCTGAGCCTGGTTAAGCAACAGATGCCAAAGACGGATAGAAAGCAAGTCCTTAAGGCTTGCCTTCAAGGAATTGCAGAGTTGCATGACCGAGATATTGTGCATCTAGGTAACATGAAGCATGATGTCTAAGCCCACGATGCGTTAGTCATATCACTAATCATCCATTTTCAGACATCAAGCCTGACAATATCATGGTCAACATTCAGCCGAACTCTGTCATTGACCAAGTTCAGATCATTGATATCGAGAATGCTGCATACCTTCCTAAAGGCCGGTGCATTAAAGGGATGCTGCCTGGAAACGACAATTGGCGCAGCCCAGAGGGACATTTCAAGGGCGAAGTCAACAGACCCTCTGACATCTATTCATTTGGAGCCGTAGTAAGTGGATCGCGGGTGAATTGCGGCGAACGACACCTCCCTAACAAGCTCGCACCACGTAGTGCATCTATGCTATGCTTGGCCGTGTCATCTTCGGGCCAGACGATGATTTCCGGAAACACGAGTCACAAGGCGCCCTGCCTGCGCTCATCCGCCTGCAACGTCAAGTCTCGTACTTTGGAGACAAGGATGGTCTAAACGGGCTCATGAAGCACGTCGGAGATGAGGAGATCAACTGCCAGATCTTGGGGATGCTTTGGGACGAGCGGACGGAGGAGCATATTCCATATAAACCATTCTCGACATGGCCGGACGTCGAAGATGTCTCTTTCAGAGACCTCGTCCAGCGCATGTTGAATCTGGACCCTGCGAAGCGGATTACGGCTCGTCAGGCATTAGGTCATCCTTGGTTCGCAGAACCTTGACCTCTAGTCTTTCCCTTTTCCAGATTTCTATCTCTTCATGTTCCCCTGCTATTTTCCTGTTCCGCAATTTTCTTCCAATTTCCGTCTCTCCAGAAAAAGAAGAGCCTTATACTCCTCTCAATCGCCCGTTTGCTGCAATAATTCTTGGACTGTGACTTGTTGTTGCGAGTGCTCTGCCACATACCTTGTTGAGCATGACGTCAGCCGCACACCCTATCAAGTTGCACCAAGGAAAGATTGTAAAATGCTCAAGAAAGCCTCGTCTTCATGGCTCGAGTCTGTCTGAGTCTTGGAGCTCGGGCGGAGCGAGGCACTTCCGTGTAGAATGTGATGTGTGTTGAATGTCATGGCTTGGGACGCTCACACCGGCACATACATTGAGGTTCTGCGGCGTAGCAGCCGGGGACCAGTCACCCGCGTCGTGGTTTTGACCCGTCATCCAGCCTGCTCACCGAGTGGGCAGATGCGACCAGTCGCCATCACGTCAAGGTTTACCGTCACCACAAGGCTGGCCGACTGGCCACATCGCAATGCGCCTGCTTGGTGGCGCAGCAAGCTGGATGAAGGGTCTCAGGGTGAAGCCTGTCCATGACTAGCCAAGTTTGCCCATTCCTTGGGCAGCAGACTGGTCACGACCAACTCTAGCAGCTGCCGGGGGAGCCCATACCAGTCTGCCGGTACATTAGCAGGCGCATGATGACCAGTCAGTGGCCCCTAGACAACGATTTCCTTGTCAACCTGGCCCACGTTGCCTCCCTCCATCATCACAGGCGTCCCCCAAGAGGCAGATGGCAAGGCAGCAGGACGCACCTGTTGTAGTGATGTGAAACTTTTGAAATCACACAACAGGGGAGGGAAAGTATATTCAGCTAGGCAACAAGTAACCTCACGGCCTCGTCGATGAGCAGCTGCGCCGCGGCAGGCGTGGCCGATCACTAAACCGGAACCCCTAACCACATCACCAGCATTACAATTATTGTGAGTAAAGCATATACAGGAGCCAGAGTACGCCCACCCAGCTTCCACAGTACGCCCACCCAGTATAAGGAAATTGGCTGCATGCGCTATAAAATATTGGTACTATGGGGTTATTAACAAAGCATAGCTATAGCTATCCTAGAGGGGTCCCATAGCTACCCCTTTATTTGCAACTTGAAAGTTACTTCTGCCCTTTGCCCTCTGCGCCCTTTGCACCCTCTGGCGCCCTCTGGCGCCCTCTGCACCCTCTGGGCCCTCTGCGGCCCTCTGGGCACTCTACGGCCCTCTGGGCACTCTACGGCCCTCTGGGCGCTCTAGGGGCTTCTGGGCGCTTTAGGCTTTTTAAGCTTATATTTTTAAAGTATTACTTAAATTAAAAAACAACTACCCTAGCTTCTTATATATAAGGTAAACTTAAAAAAATACTTAATTTTATTAATATAATATTAAGAAAAGAAAGTATCAAGTAGGCTAATGTTAAAAGCTAAGTAAGCATATTATAAAAGCTGGGTAGGCATACTTTAGCTTCATATATAAGGTTTCTTAAAACAGATTATCCATGCTAATATAATCCTTATTAATAATATAATGCTATTTATATTAATTAAAACCCTTTATTTCTTTTCTTTTAAATATAATTATAATATTAATTACCTTATTAAAACTTTTTTTTATATTTTTAAGCCTTAATATATTATTATTATTAAACTCCTTATTACCCTTTATAATTTTAAGGGTTAAAAATAATATTATAAACCCTTTAATTACCTTATATATTCTTTATTATATAATAAATAATAATTGTATTATATAATATTATAATATTTTATTATTTTATTATTTTATATTAATATTTATATTTATTATTTTTATTTATTTTTCTTAATATTTTTGTAAATAATTTATTATTAATTAATTTTTTAATCTTTTTAATTAATTAATATAATAATTAATAATAAGGTAAATTATTTTTAAATTTAATAAATTTTAAAGTTAATTAACTTTTTATATAAGTTTTTAAAAAAAGTTTAAAGTTTTTAAATTAAGTTAAATTTATAATTAAGATAATATTTTTAATTATATTTTTAATCTTTTAAATATTAAAAAACTTTTTTTAATTATTTATAATTATAATAATAATATTTTTAATAAGCTTATATAAAAAATTGCTTTTAAAATTATTATTAATTATAATTAAATAATAATAAATAAGTTATAAGTTATAATAATAAAAATATAATATTTTTATAATTATAAGTTTTTTAAGAAAGTAATAAATAAATAAATAAGATTTTTTATTATTATAAATTAATATTTATATATTAAATTATTATTTTTATTATTATTATATTATTTATAAAGTATTAAAATATTTAATTTTATTATTAAATTATTATTAAAAGATATTTAAATTAAGTTTAATTATATATAACGTTAACTTATAACTCTTTTAAATACTTTAAGTAATTATTATATTATTACTTTTAATTAAGCAATTAAAGATTTTTAAAAGTTAATTAATAATATTCTTATTATTATTATTATTATTTATAAAAAAGTTATAAATTTATAATAAAGATAAGATTAAAAATATACTTAAATTAAATACTTTTTATATTTTAAATTTATTTTATAATTACTTAATTCTTTTTATATAATTATATTATTATAATAATATTTATATTACTTTAAAATTTATTTAACTGCTTAGCCTTTCCTTTATTTAATAATAATTTTATTATTAATAAAAATAATATTAATAATAATAATATTAATAGCAATCTTAATTTTAAGAAAGCATTTAATAAAAAAAGGTTATAATAAAGTAAGCAATAATTAAATTAATACCATTACTTAATTTTATATTATAATGCCCCTTAATTTACTTTTTAATTAATTAATGCTTTATAAAAAGATTTATGTATTAATTCTTTTTAATTGCTTAATTATGTGATGGGCTTGGGCTATTGCCCAAGCCTTATATAGTGTAGCTAGATAATTTAAGTGTGGAAGGCTATAAGTGTTATGAAGGGTTTAAAAGCATGATTATAAAAGCGTTTATCTCCTAAGAGTAGTTTAAAAGGAGGAAATAAAAGAAATTTAGCTATTTAAGCATTTTAAAAAGTAATTGCAAACCAAAGTTAAGGATATGCATATAATATACTTCTTAATTAAAAGGCAATTCCTACCTTATTAATTACCTTATTTTTTTAAGCAACTAATTTATACTTAAAAATATTAATTATAGCCCGCTAAGTAATTAATTATTTAACCTTTCTTATAATATATATACTTTATTATTTAAACTTTAGCTATTTATAATCTTATAACGCAACTTATAATTAATAATTAAACCTCTTTTTAAACTTTTTAATTAAATTTATATTTAAAAATATCTATTTTTATTAATTTTAAGTATTTTTTTAATTATATTAAAGATAGTTAAAAGTAATAAAAATTAAGCTTTTAAGCCATAAGCTATTTTACTTCTTTATACCTTTAAGGTTTAAAAAAAATATATAAATGCAATTAAATTAATAAAGAGCTTATTAATAAAAATAATAAAAACTTTAATACTTTTATTAAAATATTGCTAAATAATATGCCTAAAAGTAAGTTTATTAATTAATTTAAAAACTAATTTTAAAATATATATTAATTCTTAAAATAGCTTTAAAAAACCTTTAAGCATATATAAATAACTTAAAGCTTAAAATAAAACGCCTTTTTAAAGAAAAGGTTAAAATAAAGCGTAAAAAGAAAAAAAAATATAAAAAAGCTTAAGAAAATTAGCAAACATTACATCCTTTATCTTCCTTATATTAAAATCCTTATATATAGCTATAATAATAATTCCTATATAAATTATAATAATAAAAGCAATTATTATTACCATTATACTTAAAGCAATTCTTATAAGCCGCTTTTAATTTTCCTTTTATTATTTATACTTTATCTTTATTATATTTAATTTAGTAATTCCTTAGCATTTAAAAAATCTTAATATGCTTAAAAGAAAGCCTTAAATATATATAAATGCAAAAAGTTTAATTCCGCTTATATTAATTGCATTTTTATAATTCCTTTTAATACTTAAAAAATCTTTACTTTATAATAATAACTTTTAAAGGCTATAAAAATAAATATAAGAATATAATAAAATACTTTAAAGCTTAAATTATAATTACTTTAAAGCAATATAATAAAGTTAATATAAAAACTTAAAAGCTTTAAGATTAAGTTATTAATAATTTAAAAACCATAAAAAAGTATAAAAATTATATTATTATTATAATTAAGCCTTTTAATTTTAAGGGTAATATTAAAAAGTAAATATTATTAAATCTTAATTTAAAATTATAATTAAAAATTTAATTAAAAGTTAAGAAAGTTTTTTTAAAAAAATTAAAAGGTTATTATAATAATTAAAAAAAGGTTTTAAATTAATTAGCATATTATTATAAAGATTAAAAGGTAATTTTTAATTATAAAATAGTTTTTATATAAAAGTTGCATTATAATTTTTAAAAAATATAATTTTTAAAGTTTTTAATAAAAGCCTAATAATAAGAATAATTAATAAATAAATTAATCCCCTTTTATTATTTCCCTTATATTTTAAAGATTTAAAAAAGCTTTAAAATATTTAAATTAAATGCATAATAAAACTTTAATAAATTTATTTATAAGTATCTTTTTAATTTTTAAATATATAATATTAAAAGTACCCCTTTTAAATTCCTATTTTAATTATATTTATTAAATATTTATATACCTAAGCCTTATTTTTAACCATTTATGCTTATTAATAATTAAATATATAATTATTTAATTATTGCAATAAATAATTTAAGGCTTGCTTAAATTTAAAGTTATATTTTTAAATAAGCATTTTAAAGCCATTATTTCTTTAGTTATAAGCTTTAAAGCTAATAATTTAGCCTTAATAATTAAAATAAAAATAATTACTTATTTATATGCTTTTTAATATATAAGGCCCTTAAAAAAGATTATTATATACC